TTTACTCAAAATAACCTCGCGCCGTTGAGTTCTCTTGTTGTCAAGACAGGTCCCGGGGGCGTTGGCTGCCTCCTGAATCTGTCGATAGCTCTGTTGACCGTAGCTGTTACGGCTAGCAATTTAGCCATCGTCTGATATCTGTTGAGTAGCTCTGCAATTTCGTTGATTTTAATTGCAACTGGATGTGCTGGTGCTGGTTTTGCTTCTCTGGCCACTTCTGGGATGTCCATTGCTGGAGCGTCGATTGATGATTGTGGCCATTCTTCAGGATCCTGATTGATCCACTCAGGTCCTGACCACCACAGTTGATGATCTTCTAGCTGGCTCGGTGATATGCCTCTGGAGGCACAATCAGCTGGATTCTCCTTTCCACTGACATGTCTCCAGGTAGCATTCGGGAGAGTTTCCTGGATCTTGACGACCCTGTTGTGGACGAAGTCCTTCCATCTTGATACGTGGCTCCTGATCCAAGCTAGTGCTACTGAAGGATCAGACCAGAGATAGGTGTCTACCTGGTCGATTTGGAGCATTTTCTTCGTTGATGCCACTAGCTGAGTCAGTAGAAGAGCTGCTGTGAGCTCTAGTCGAGGGATGGTCATGCGCTTGAGTGGTGCTACCTTAGTCTTCGCGCATACCAGTACTGTTGATGTCGAATCGTTAATGGTTTTGGTGCGAATATACACCACTGCACTCATGGCTACCGTTGAGGCGTCTGCAAATCGATGAATTTGGATGTTGAGTGTCTCTGTTGAAATTCTCAGCCATCTGGGTACAGTTACTCTGTCTAGGTCGTTGAGATTCTCTCGGAATGTCTTCCAGCGTTGAACATACTCATCTGGAAGAAGATCATCCCATTTTAGTTTTAATCTCCAAAGATCTTGTAGGAGAATCTTTCCCTGGACGACAACTGGTGTGATAAATCCCAGTGGATCAAAAATCTGGGCTATTTCTGAAGAGACTACTCTCTTGGTGATTGTCGCTGTATTGAAATCCTTTGATTTGTACCGGAATGTGTCGGTGGATTGATGCCAACACAATCCAAGTACCTTGGTGACTGACTCTTCGAACTGGATAATTTCTTCTTCAGTTGATAGGCCCAACTCATGCAGAGCTTCTGGACAATTGCTACTCCACTTCTGTAGAGAGAAGCCTCCTGCATGGCAAAGCCCTTGTAGTTGCGTTGCGATCTCCTTGAGACCGTCTTCTGTTTCTGCACCGCCTCATCTGGTGAAAGCTCTGATGTTGATGATCTCTCGTTTGGCAGTTCTTCCTGGACCCAAAATTTCTGGAGAAGCTCTAGAAGTTGTTCATTCGAAGATTCTCGTACAGCTGATAGAGATGCCTTTATTGAACAATTTGTGCATTCGATTGATCCGGATAATATCCAACCGAATACTGTGCGTTGGCCAACTACTCTCGATTGCTCTGACTTGACAACGTCATCCATGATGATCCGCCCATAGTTGTCAGCCCCTAGTATGATGTCGATTGGTCCAGGCCTGAGATAATGGGGATCGGCTAGCTGAAGATTCTGAAGTGAGCCGATTCTCGGTGATGAGCATGAAAATGACGGAATTATTGTGGTGAGCTTCTTTAGAATGTGGGCGTTGAGTTGCAGTTGATGAGTCCCACTGTTCGATTGTAGAGTGACTGAAACTATTCCTCTGGTGTATTCTGAATTAATTCCACCAATTCTCACTAGCTCCACTGTTGATGCCCTTCTCTGTAAATGCAGTTGATTAACTAATTGTTCGCAGATAAACGATACCTCTGAACCCTGGTCGATGAGTGCTCTGGCTTTTGTCGTGAATCCTCTCGGTGATATGACTTTTACTCGTGCTACAGTTACCAACAGTACAGTTGCCAACAGCACTGACTGTTGATCTGCTTCTCCTTGGTGAGTTTCGTGGTTGATGTTCTCTACTTTCTCATTGATCATTTTGTTGTTGAAGTTCACTGCTACTGGTGGTGATGTACTGGATTCTACTGTTGAGGAATGATCAATGAGATGGTGAGTGTGCTATTCCGATTGAATTCATTCACTCACCTAACGCCTCTAAGAAGTTCCCGTGATCCTCTTGCTACCTGGATGTTCCAGCAATCTGGACGGGTTCAGCTTGAGTGCGTCTGGCTGGAGGCGGGCTCATCGTCCATGAACTCCCTCCATGGATGAGCGTGTGGTGATATCTGCTGCATTTGTGGCACTTCTTTTCCGACGTGCACTTCGCCTTCGTGTGTGGCCCCAAGCAGTTGAAGCACAGCCCCTTGTTGATAACGACGTCGTTTCTCTTCGCTGGGTTGAGCTCGATAAATTTCTGACAGGATGCTATAAAATGCTTGTTCTGACAGTAGGCACAGCAGTTCCTAGGAAGTTGTCTTTCTGGCTCCTTAATTTCCTGCTGTTGAGTTGCTGCCGTATAGGTGCTCCTTTTCTTTATAGGAGCTGACTTCTTCGTAGCTGCGTTGAGTTCCTTTGACGATAGCAGCTTGGCACCTACGTTGATCCCTCTGCCGCAGGCCTCGATGAACGCCACGAACTCCTTAAGGCTCGGGAAATCCTTTGAGTCTCCCAGCTTTAGTTCCCATTGCTTGAGTGTCTCTGCATCAAGAGATCTCCTCAGTAGATGGGCTATCAGCTGTTCAGCGATGTTGTCTGTCGTCAGCCCCGTCACGTCTTGTAATTGATCTAGGGTCTCCAATGCTGCTGCTCCGTTGGCGCTGAGGTTCTCTTCTGTTGCTTGGGTGATTTTCGGCAGCGTCAGGATCCTGTTGAATAACGACTGAGCGACGAGTCTAGGGTCTTCGTACTTCCTGGTGAGTTTCTGCCAAGCCTTNATACTACTACTGACTGACTCTTCCGGGTGCCGCGCTGACCTGTGTCCGTTGACCCGAAAGTTCACGGAGATTTTCGGAGATGGCCGAGTTAGTCGACCGTAACCATTTTGGAG